GATGGATGGATGGATGGATGCACAGAGCTTTAGAATTAGCTTTTGCTAAATTTTGAAGTGTGTTAGTGTGTTAAAAAAAAAATAAAAAAATACAAAAATACAAAAATAAAAAAAAAGGAAGTGTGTTAGTGCTTTACAATTAGGGGAGTTAGTGCTTTAGGGTGCTGCCCACCACTGCGCATAATAACAAAATTTTTATCGTATCTTTTATAACAGTAAACATTTGATTAAAATATAGTCCAAAACATGTTAAAAATCTTAGTGTACATGAATGAAATGTGTTATTTAATGAATACATGCAAAAACTGTAAATTATATTTATTAATTAGGAGAGCAAATTTTTTGTCTATAAATATGAAAAACAGGGAAAGTAATATACCAACAGAGGACTAAAAGATTTGTGGTTAAAGTTCCAGAGTAACAAGGAAGAAACAAGAGTTTGAACATCCCGCTGAGAGAAAGCCAATGCCATCACACACTGTGCTGCTGGAAAATCCTGGTTAATCAACATTATACACACACACCCACACACAAACGTACACACACACCCACACCCACACCCACACACACACACACACACACACACAGTGACACACAGAGACTTCCTAACAGCTCCACATTGACAGGTTGTATGCTGAGTACAGATATGTATTGATCAGACATTCTCAGTGACTCCTTAAACCTCAGGGAGGGCTCAGGATGGGACTGCAAAAAGAGGCCAGGAAAACAGGAAACTTAAATGGTCGTTTTACAAGTTTAAATATATGAAGCCAAGTAAAAAACAAAACAAAACAAACAAAAAAAAACAAAGGAGAAGAAAAGATAAGAAAAGAAGAGGAGAGGAGAGGAGAGAACGTGGTCCATCAGGGTGAATCTGTCATTAGTCGACTCTCTGAGTTCTGGTGGACCACAGCGGGGGACAATAAGGACTCAGGCGGATCAAGACACCCATACATACACATACCTTCTTGTAAACAGATTTTGTGGATTTGTGTTCTGTGTGCATGAATCACTTTGCATGTGCAGAAAACACATCGGCTCATTACGCCGGCTCTAACCTTGCGAGAGCGCCTGCGGCGTTGGATAACCTACCTTCAGTGACAGGCTGCAGTTTGCTCGAGCGCTCCGAGTCCGGGCTGTGCAGAGGTTCTGGTTCTCTGAGGCTCTCCAACGGCAGGAACGGGTCGTAATCTGGACTCGACAGGTCCGACAGCTGCAGCGGGAAATACTTGGGACTGTTGAAAGACTGTGCTCCATACACACAACCATGTAGTACCTAAACACACATTTGAAAGACAAAAAAGATGTTTAATGAATGTCTTACTGGTAAAAAAGAAACCTACTGTGTAATGGGTCATGTTGTGATTTACCTTGTAAATACAGCTGAGAAGGGTTTTGGTGGGTTGATCCTTCTCAGGTGGGCTTCGTGTTTGAACAGGTTGGAGGAGAGTCTTTGGAGGCAGAGCCATCACCCAGTCCAACAGACACAACAAGAGGGAAACTACAAGCTGCAACACAAACGTTGAGTTATAATTTATAATTAATATGGAATAACAAACCTACTTTATGTGGATTATAAATGTGTTACCCTTTTGTCCAGTTCATGAGGAGAGGACTCTGTACTTGGCAGTAAGTATGTTATGGTGGCAATCAGAATCTGGAGAGAGACAATCAGGTTTTCCAAAAAGATTTAAGTAAAAAACATACAATTCACAAAAACTCAACACTATAAAAGCAAAAACACAAAATAATAAACGCTGACAGAAAACAGAGGGACATAAAATAAAACAACATGCGTCTAACCTCTACGATCTTTTTTGGAGTTTCAGGGGGGAATTTGTGAAGATGGTCCACGTAGTTGATCAGTAGGTGAAGGACGTCTGATGCCACCAGAGCTACGTTCTTATTGGGATACTAAAAAACAAAAGATTTATAAAACTTTAAAGGTATATTAAGCCACTTATAATGAAATCTGTCATTGCTGAGGCAAACAAGTCACTGAAAGAAGGACGAAAAGGACGAATGATACCACAGGGCTTTTTACCATTCTATTGTAGGAGACAGTTCAAATGGTTTAATTAAACAACATTTAGTCTATATAGGGAGATACATTTCTATTTAAAATTAAAACAAGGTACAATACTTTGTTTAAAAACAAATGCACTATTTATTTGTGTCCATTCTTGTCCTGTTAGATCTAAGTGCTGCATTTGATACAATTGATCACAATATTTTATTACGTAGACTTGAACTTGATATTGAGATTACAGGAACAGCTCTAAAATGGTTTGTCTTAATTAACTGATAGATTTTAGTTTGTTAATGTTAATAATGAATCTTCTGCTTACATCAGAGTTAGTCATGGAGTTCCTCAGGGTTCAGTGCTTGGACCAATCCTCTTTACTTTACATATGCTTCCAATATGTAAAGTTCTTAAACAGCATGGGATAAATTTCCATTGTTATGCTGATGATACTCAGTTATATTTATCCATGAAACCTGATGAATCCAACCAGTTACTTAAACTACAAGCATGTCTTACAGACATAAAAACATGGATGACTCCTAACTGTCTGCTTCTGAACTCAGATAAGATAGAGGTTATGGTTTTTGGACCTGAACATCTTAGGRATCAACTTTGCAGCCTTTCACCTCCTCTGGATGGCATTAATCTGGCCTCCAGTTCTAATGTAAGGAAGCTTGGTGTTATTTTTGATCAGGACATGTCTTTTAACCTCCACAATAAAAATGTTACCAGGACTGCCTTCTTCCACCTGTGTAATATCACTAAAATTAGAAACATTTTGTCCAAAAATGATGCAGAAAAATTGATTCATACATTTCTCACATCTAGGCTGGACTACTGTAATTCTTTATTATCTGGACATCCAAAAACTCTTTAAGATGTCTTCAGTTGATCCAAAATGCTGCTGCTAGAGTTTTAATGAGAGTTGGAAGGAGAGATCATATTTCTCCAGTTTTAGCTTCTCTCCACTGGCTCCCTGTCAAATTCAGAATAGAATTTAAAATATTACTCCTAACATACAAAGCTCTTAACAACCAAGCTCTATCATATATTAAACATCTTATTGTTCCATACTTTCCTAACAGAGCACTTCGCTCTCAGACTGCAGGTTTATTTGTGGTTCCTCGAGTTTCTAAAAGTAGAATGGGAGGCAGAGCTTTCAGTTATCAAGCTCCTCTCTTGTGGAACCAACTTTCAGTTTCTGTCTGTGAGGCTGACCTCTGTCTACTTTTAAGATTAGACTGAAGACTTTCCTTTTTGATAAATCATATAGTTACACTTAGGTTTCCTGAATTATTCTTCATTTCTGCTGCTATGGACTTAGACTGCTGGAGCACAAACTGAGCACATTTCCTCACTCTGCTGTTGTCTTTAGTCTCTTTTCTCTACATGTTTATTGTAATTATTTCTATCAATAACATGTTTTTCTTTTTGTCTCTTTTCCAGAAGAAGGTGCACCTAGACCAGTTCTTCTGTGTTTACCTGTGTCTCTTTCCTGTCCCTCATCCAGCCGGTCGAGGCAGATRGCCGCCTGTCCTGAGCCTGGTTCTGCTGGAGGTTTCTTCCTGATTAGCAGGGAGTTTTTCCTCTCCACCGTTTGCTCAGGATGGGAGACTGTGATGAAGTGATTCAACACAATCTGCTGGTTTCTTCTTTAGATTGTTTTATTTTCATGTACAGTGCCCTGAGACAACGTTTGTTATGATTTGGCGCTATATAAATAAACTGAATTGAATTGAAATGATWAATTGTTTTATTCAAAACACAACTGCTTTAAATGTAAGTTAGAAAAAGCGTAAAAACTTCATTCTAAAGAAACAAACTAAAATCAAAGTTATTATTTATTTCTGTCTTTTGCTGCTCATATACAAATAAATCATGTTGAATGTGAGCTTCATGATTTTTCAACTTTCCACAGTAGGAAGGTTGGAAGACAATACAGTCAACAGGAAGTGGCTCTGCTCAGAAAAATAATTACTCAAGCATTGTGAACATGTGTGTAATTGTGTGTACATGTCATCGAGCCCATGGCTGAGGCTCCTGGCTGCAACCGCAACGGCAAGAGATCCAGAAGTGGACAAGTGTTTATATTCAGGAGTGTGTGCGTGAATATTTTATGCATGTGTGTGTAGGACACAGCTTGCAGCATTCCCACTGGATTAGTCTCCCATTTGAAGAAGAACCAAACATATTTACAGTCCAGGGTTGACTCCCATGTGAACGCAAGTTTGTGTGTATGTGTGTCTGCTGGTGCAATGTCTTAGCAGGCAATTGGCTGCCGATACACAAGAGGGGGTTGACAAGGTATGTGTGTGTCTGTCTAGAGCCACTTGGCTCTGGATCAGACAGTAAATGTTGGACAGTTTTATTCTGATCCAGAGGCCTCTCAGTCCAGTTGCTTGAAACGGGCAATAACAACTGAGACAATGTTACCAACACTAACAATCATCTCCAGCACAYAGTCATTGTTTTAGTGCACTAAAATAATCTAAAAAAAAAAGTTAAACTCTCCTTTACTTTTTTTGGTAACATTTTATAATAACTACACCTTATTTAGCCTTAATTGATCATTAATAAATGGTTAGTTTAATTATGGATGGTTCATACTTAAGCTATAAATAAAACATTTATTAATACTTTACCCATAAGGACTAATTACTTCCAAGAACAACTAGTCAATCCTAACAATTAATACATGCTGTGAAAGTACATTTATATGAGTATACATATACACAACACAGAATAGTTAATTCATGAGTTAAGCATGAATAAACAATGCATATGTTGATTTTGTCAGTAATTAGCTTTTATGGTTAAAATATTAATAAATGTGTTAATTTATAGCTTAAGTATAAATCATCTTTAATTAATGATGTTTTCAAGGTTAACTAACTGTTCATTATTGATTAAATAAAGATAAATGTAGTGTAGTTATTATATAAATTGCTACCCTTTTGTTTTTTTAAGTATTAATAATGCCACACATAAATGTGTTTTAAACAAACAGAATAAAAGAGGGAGTTCAATAGTTAGGATTAGAAACACATATAATTATGTCTATCAGTCAGGATTATGTATACATATTTTATGAATATCTGAAATAACAAATCATCAGAAAATCCAACTGAAGTTGCACAAAGCAGACTCAAAGAAGCAACGTGGATTTTTTCATATAAATTAAAAATATTTACAAAAACGGCAATTATTTATGAAATATCAAATTTTTATGTTTTGAAATGTGTTTTTTGGAGAGAGGTATACAAAATAAGTTTTAACTCATTTCATGAGAGAAGTCTCAAGGTTTTTTGTGTGAATAAACATTCAGGAAATAAATCAGGGGTAGAGCCAGATGGGTTCTGGGGTGACACCTGATTGGCTATCCCAGTTGCTGCCCCCAAATAACTGAGACGAGGGTGGACATCTTGGATTTTGTATTTCCATTTAAATAGTGTTAAAGATTGTTCTCTGATAATACAGTACTACAGTATGAATATTTTCAGCTGTGTATGTTGACAAATTGCTAAATTAGCCCTGTGTAAAAGTAGCATTAGCTTTAGTGGTTTGCATAATTTTGGATTAACATGAGATCATTCTTACTCCACATTTTATTTCAATASGTCTTAAAATTGCTGAATTATACTCTCTTAAAGTTAGCGGTGGTGACCATCTTGAATTTTTGATTAGAACTTAGAATTTGTTAAAGAATGTTTTCAGCTACTTCTACACTTAAACTAGATGTCAGTCGACTGATATTGATTTATAATTGGAATATAAAGAGTCAAACTACATTATTAGATGGATTTTAAAAAGAGAAGTGGCTCACCTTTAGTGTAACACAGATGACATTTAGAGCAACTTTAATCTGAGGATGTTCAGTCCCGTGAACCAACTCCTCACACAGCCAGATACCCAGACTGCACAAAGCAACACACCTGAAAAAACACACAGAGAGTCAGCAAATTATCTGTATTAACACAATTTTTAATACAATAAAAGATAAATCCTACCTAGCAGGAGCGGAGGGTTCATCCCTAGCAGAGGTCAGGATGGTTTTAATTATGTGCTCCTAAAACACAAAACAAACAAAATTAGTTTATAACTTCATCAGGCCAAATAGAAACCAAGCACCTGTAAAAACTAGTGTGAATAATAAATGTATTCATGCAAGTTATAGAACTATGAAGCTAATATGTAGTATATCATACACACAAAATATGGACACATTCACAGATTCACTGGTCCCATCCTTTCAGTCACAGTTAATGATCGCTTAGTGATTCAAAACAAGTTTCTGGCTCGTATGAAACCAGAGAGAGGACCTGAGGTGCTGCCACGCATGGCATTAACTGTTTACACAGCAACAACAACAAAAACAACATTACTCCCACAGCCCCGAGCTGGTTCAGGAATATCTGATGAGACATTAACCTAATACTTTGTTCTGAGATCCCCTACAGGCAGCAGACACGAGTTACAAAATTAAGGCTGACCCGCATCACACACAAAAGAGATAAAAGTTTGGGGATTCATGCGTGGCTAACGTCAGTTTACTGTTAATCACAACCTGTCGCAGCTACACAAACGAGTACTTCCATCTACCTTGACATCAGGAAACTTTGTTAAAACCACGTCGGCTGTGGTCGGATGGAGAGCAGCGAGGTCCTCGTAAAAGTTGGAGAAACACACCAGAGAGCCGAGAAGGATCTGGGCCTCCACTCTTGGAGCCTTGAAGAGAAGGTGACAAGAGGTAAAGAAGTGAGGAAATAAAAAAGAAATGCAAATCTAACACCTGTAGTTATTTTACTTTTTTCTTACATTAAGTGATGAACAGGCTGTGACTCGAGAAGCTGCGATGATAAAATCCAGGATCAACATGGTGGCACCAGGGAGACCAATACTAAAGAACCTCGGACTGCAGTGCTTGATGATGGTGTTCACAATGTCCTGCATGGAGCACAAACGTCAACATGAAAACATGAACACATATTATGTTTTACAGGACTGACAAATACTATACACAGAACAGAGACACTGTGCCGAGAATTTAGTTTAATCTTTGAAGTGTAAAAGTTATTGAATATACTTAGCACAAAAAGTATGAAAATTTGTGTTTGGTAGATTATTTCTTTGTTGTAACCATGCTTCTTGGTAATAAATCTTATACCAGGCACCTGATTGGCAGCACTTGGGGGTACCAGAAGCTCAAAACACAAGTCAATAGCAACAACAAAACAAGACGTTTGACACCCACACACTCAGCTCTACTGCTCATCCCACAAATGAACGTTCCTTACAAATGTGGCACCATTTAAAGTGCCTGTGATGTTAAATTTTTGTAATACTTTTGGGATGCATTTTTAGAAAGAGAACATTGATACAATATTGCAAAAGAAATTTCATGTCGCTGAGATGAACAGTTGTAGAGATATTTGCCTGTGAAGTAACAGGAAGTGATGTCAAAGGGGAATGACTGTATGGGAACAGAGCATCGCTACAACAGCCAACAACCCAGACTGTAGAGAAGAATCTGATGTTTCTTAAGATTATTTTGATTCTCTATCACAGATGAAGAAGAGTCAGAGTTCAAACAATATTGTTTCAATAAACAAAGACCAGAGAGTTTTCTTTGTTAAAGAGTTCCCCTTTGAAGTCACTTCCTGTTTCACTTTGAAACAGGAAATATGYCAGTTTTGGGACAAAATGGGTTAAATCGTGTGTATTATYCCAACTTTCTTAAATATTAAAACGTTTTCTTTGACTTTTTGAATTTGAAGAATAAGCATGCTACGGGCAATTTAAAAGAGAATTTAATGGATTTTCCAACGATGTAGGATTTACTGCTAAGGAGCATTGGGCCTCATGCAAGAACATGTTCGTATTCTTATCCTAAATTTCTCTTACTTTTGTTCGTACAAAGGGTTCGTACGAACATGTCACGTC